CAGAAGCTGAGGCAAGTGATGGGAGCTCACTCCGTCACATGGTGCTAGGACTTGAACCACTGGGATACAGACCTTCTCCAGCGTCATTAAGCCACTGGGCCACGATGCCTCTGTGAGAATAGCAGAAATAAATTCTTAAAACAATACTGTCTATGCAGTGGTGGATTCAAATAATTTAACAACTGGTTCTCTGCCCTAATGATTTCTTCCAACAACCAGCTCACCAAACTGCTCAGAAAGTTAACAACTGGTTCTCCCAAACTGGTGTGAACTGGCTGAATCCCACTACTGTGTCTACGGAAACAAAAGGAAAATAAAAGTCAGCGATCCAACTTTAATAAACATGCTGATTTTATTAGTCAAAAGCAGTGTCCATTGTTGTCACTTACACAATCAGCACATCACAAAGCATTACTACTAGATGATCATTCCTTGTCAGTATCTGCAATAATGCCTGCCTATACAGAATTAACATTTTAGAAATGTTTTATAACATTTTAGAGAAGGCAGAAATCCCTTTTGCCTGTGCATGTAAAATACACAGAAAATAATGTATAGCACTTCTTACTGAAAGACCACAGTAAAACAAGAGAAGAGACTTTTTGGTTAAAATGTGACTTTTCGTGGCTCTAAATCCCAAGTCGGAAAATAGATCTTTTGAATTAGGATGTGATGAAATATCATTTTAGAACTCATCTTCATCCCCCAACTAGGGCATGAACATGCCCTAGTAACCACTTTTGTATGACATTGTCAGGATGCAATTTGTAATTTCTTTAATTAGGTCAGTCACACACTTCACTGGCTTATGTTCTGGATGACAATCCAAATTCACCACCATGTATTTTGCTTTATTTGGCACAGTTTACATTTAGAGTCAAAGTCACCTGTCCTTTTAAAAAAGGCTCATTTAGTTTTCTGCTGTGCCAAATGATGACCGCTCATGGGATAGCAAGAAAAGTCATGCACTGAGAATCCTACACATGCTACATAAAACTTCAATTCACAGATCTGATCCTGTTCTTATTTCTGACTATGTTGCTGCAAGGAAATTGCACCAAATATAATCAATTTATTATCAATACTTTATCTAAAAAGTCATTATAGAAGTAAGGACAAGAGAATGGATGATTACCAAGACACAATATAGATATTGAGGAACATCCCAACATTTCTTTTATGAGAAGTCTCTTATGAGTAGACTGAGATAATGGAAGGTGTGCGCACAAGTCTGATGATCATCTCCACTACTAGGTCTGTTTAAGGGAAATCTTATTTGCTTCAGGTCCAAACTTTGTACTGGAATAAGGGGTGGGCTTCAAAACTTTTAGCAACAGGTTCTCTGCCCAGTTGCTGGGTGGGTGTTGCCATGGTGGGCGTGGCCTAGTCAGCTTCCTGCACCATGGCGGGGGGGTGATTTTGCCCTTCCTGAGGCTTTCATCGAGCCTCCAGGAGAGCAAAAACGGCCTCTCCGGGCTCTGGAGGCTCCCTGGAAGCCGGAAATGGATCAATTTCTGGCCTTCCCGAGCCCTGTTTTTCACCCTCCCTGAATCTTCATGTGTGCCTTGCGCTTACCTGCATCCAAAACAGGCTGCGTGGGGACTCATGGGAGTGGTGGAGTAGGCGGGGCTAGCCAGGAGTGGGATTTGGGGATTCTCCGAACTGTGCAGAATCTTAGCTAGGGTATCTCCTGAACCCCTGCGAATCCCTAGCAGCCAGAGGTGGTATTCAGCAGGTTCTGACCAGTTCTGGAGAACCAGTAGTGGGAATTTTGAGTAGTTTGGAAATCCACAAATACCAACTCTGACTGGAGATTTTACAGTATCCTTCCCCTGCCATGCCCACCAAGCCACGCCCACAGAACTGGTTAGTAAAAAAAATTGTATCCCACGACTGCTAGCAGCCCACTCCTGCAAATGTTTCAGAAGGGACCCTCCCTAGTTTCTAGGACTGCAAAAGTGAGGGGGCAGAGTTGTATTTTCAGACTTGCAACATTTTGTTAGTGTATCCTTATAATAAAGGTAACGTTAGTACTTCTGGTTGCTCTTTCTTGGCTAGACTACTTCTAAAGACTGGCTGCATTGCCTCTCTAAGTCCCAGTCCATAGCCGAGGCAGTCTAAAACTGACTTTAGCTGTTCCAGTTTTAAGGTCTTTTCTTCTCTTGAAACAATTTTTAATATGGATAACAATCGAGGAGGCTCAGGGGTGGGATTCAAAATTTTTAACAACTGGTTCTGTGGGTGTGGCTTAGTTGGTGGGCGTGGCTTGGTGGTCATGTGACTGGGTGGATGTTGCTTGGTGCTCATGTTATTGGCTGGGCGTGGCCAACTCAATATCACTCACATCGAGGCACGCATCTCCTCACCTGGCCTCTCATGACTGTGGGGATGCTGCAACAGTCGTAAGTGTGAAAAAAGGTCAAAAGTTACTTTTTTGAGTGCCATTGTAACTTTGAATGGTCACTCCACACAAGCAAAGTACCAGCACAGGAGGGGGAAAAAACTCCAGAAACGTTCCTGAGACAGGAAGTCTAGTCCTGCCAAGAATGTAATAAGGATTAATGGAGAGGCAGTTTCTGTAAGCAACACCAGAATGTTTCCTTCCTGCCTTCCTTACAGGATTAGGCCAGTAATTTCTTCTAACAACCGGTTCTCCAAACTGCTTAGAATGTTAACAACCGGTTCTAGCGAATAGGTGCGAACTGGTAGAATCCCACCCCGAGGAGGCTTAATCAGGGCTGGACTTTGCAGAAGTCCAACCTGTGATTTGTCGTTAGGACAACCCACCTTTAAAAGACCCATGAGACACAAAATATTGCCCTATCACAATTAAGAAAAGAGATAGTGGTTTGTGTTTTCTTCCTCGTGGCAGGCAATATTTGGTAGAACAAGGCTAAAGAGATTGCTGTCCTTGTTTCATATTAAAACAGGGAGGACAGAAGTATTTTCTGGTCTCATCACTGAGACAGAAAAGACACTGACAACAAGGACTAAGGTGTGATATGAGCTGACCTACTATTCTTCAAGCACAAGGGCTAATAGTTCGTACTTTAACATAGCTGCCTGGTTGTCACTTCAGAATGAGAGTTAAGAGTTAACTAGCTAATTCTCACCTATAAAGCTAAGAAAACTTTAAAAATTCAATAAAAAGGATAGCAGTTAAATGCTGGATAGGGTCAAAATAAAAAAAGGCAGTAGCAAGTGTATCTAAAGGGAGGAATATATACAAAGAAGGGAAAACCTGTGAAACCTGTGCAAATTGCCTATAACAAATTTACTATTCATTTTGAAAGTAATCAAAAGTAATCAGCATAGATTCATTGGTATATTTTTGAAAATGAAACAACTTATACCCTATACTAGAGGTTCATTAGGGCTATTGTTAAATAACATTTTAATGTTTAATTAACAATTTGTTCCCTGAGTAAAGAAGATATAGAATTATTATACTAAGAATATATTGGCCCACATCCCATCCAAAATACGATGCTACCAGGAAAAAAAACAAATAAGCAAGGCAGAAAGATGTATGTATATGAATTAATTCTCAACATATGAATTCTAAGCTTAACAATTTGGGGGTTGTGACAGAAGAATCTCAAAGTTCAAATTATGCTATTTTTTCACATATTTACTTTGGGCACAATGGGATCTTACTCCCCAATGGGGTCTGATTGAGGGAGAGAGAAATGTTAGGAATTAAAGAGGCTATTTGGATTGGAAAAGGTGCAGATCAATGGATCTGATTGATGGGAGGGAACTGTTGCCATGACACCATCAAAATGAAGGATTGGGAAATTAAGAAGTTTCAGGAGATAGTAGAGTTTATTTGGAAGAATTGTAAGAGGGGAGGGATTGGATTATTGCAAATGCTTCTTGACTAAGAGACTAGAATTCTTTCATTAATGTCCATGGCCTCTGATTGGGTCATTCTAATCCCAATTAAGAATTAGGAGTTTCACACTGCTCAGTCAGCAGACTGGAGCAATGTATAAGCCCTGTACATAAATAACACAAATAAATGTACTGAAGAAGTGGCAGAGCAACAGTAAATAATGCATATAGTGAAATCAATGCCTTTATTGAACAACAAAGTAAAAGATATGTTTGGTTCCCCAGGATTGCTATAGTTCCAGCAGGGAGACCCTTATGGAACCAGATCTAGCTTAGCAGCTCATTCCCGTTGCACAATATCAAGTTTGCAAGCTTCAGCCTTGAACAAATAGATTAGCTGCCCTTATAGCTGGTCTATTCTTTCTTACATTTCATAGGGAATGGATACTGAGAAAGTTCTAGGAATTGATCCGGGTTGGGACATTCCTGACAAAAGCCAAAATAGAGTTTGAGAGGGGAAATTGTAAGTGCAAATAGCTGATCTCTTGCAGGAAAATTTCATTATAAGACAGGCATTTATAAAGAGGACATTGGTTGAAAATCATTGATTCGATTATGCAGCAATTTACAAGTTATATAGGATGTCTTGCCCAGAAGGCTAACTGTAATTATTGTAAAAGGATGAGGCATTTTGCCAGTATTTGTTGTAAAAGCCAAGCCAGTGTAATCAGCAAGTGCATGTAATTATGGTAGCAGATGTTAGTTTCTTGAGTACAGTCAGGTTTAGGTCTATAAACAATACAAATTAAGTAAAACACTAGGGATAGCAAAGGATACAGACATGATGTTAAATCGGCAATTTCTACGTTATCCATATTAGCAGGTTTTTGTGACTCTTTGGGTTTTTCAGCCATTGTCATAATTGCATACTTTGCTATGTGATAATTCACCTTTTTATACAGATGTTTGCCTGTAATATCTACAGAACTTTATTTTGGCCCATGACATACTACACGAGGGATTAGGTTGTAAAACATCCAAGAAGGTTTAATTTAATAGAACAATTAATCAGTGAAACAACTTGCCTCTAGAAATTGTGGGTGCTCCAACACTGGAGGTTTTTAAGAAGAGATTGGACAACCATTTGTCTGAAATGATATAGGATTTTCTGCTTGAGGTTAGACTAGAAGACTTCCAAGGTCCCTTCCAACCCTGTTATTCTGACCCAGTGAACAAACTTAACAGAGTTAAATTTTGTTAAACGTAAACAGATCCATTCATCTACAAGACTATATCCCACCCTGATGCCATTGGTTGTAAGGAAATCAAGCCACCTCCTCCAGCCTTAATATAAGCCCTGATAACCAGCAATAAAAGAAAATGAAGCAGCCTCTTTTGCTTAAATGGCTGAGATGATTGCACATGTTCCCAATAAGAAATACATGTTGTAGTTCTGAAAGACAGATCCTGCCATGCATCTCATGAACTTGTCCTTTGACAGCAATTGAAATGCAAGAAAGGAAAGCAAACATGTTTATTTCAGAAGCCAAAATTCACCTCTGGGGGAAAAAAATCCAAGTTCTAGGAATCAAGAGTGAAGACTACTCTTGTACTAGTCCAAAGGTTGGTTGGGGAATAATAAAGAACACACGTATAGGGAGTCAGATCCAAAGTTGAAAAGCTGTTTACCAAAAAAAAAAAAAGTCCTTATTTCAAGTCCTTATTTTAAATAATAATATTTAAAGAAAAACAGGAGAGTGGACATGGTAGTACCTGGAGACTGCAGAATAGGAGAGAAAGAACTGGAGAAAATCACAAAATACAAAGACCTGCAAATAGAAGTAGAATGACTCGACTATGTATCAGAATGGTCAAACAAATGGCAACTTCAAATCTCAATGAATAAATGCTCTGTCTTACATATTGGCAAAAAAAACAACAACCAGAAAATAAAATACAAGCTGAATAGTCAAGACCTTGTTCATGATCCAAACTCTGTCAAGGACCTTGGAGTACTCATCTCAAATGATCTAAGTGCTAGAGCCCACTGTAACTACATAGCCAAAAAGGCATTAAGAGTTGTTAACCTAATCCTACACAGCTTTTTCTCTGGTAATATCACACTACTAATTAGAGCATACAAAATATTTGCTAGACCAATATTTGAATACAGCTCATCAGCCTGGAACCCACATTACGTAACTGATATTAATACAGTTGAAAAAGTCCAGAAATATTTCACAAGAAGAGTTCTCCACTCCTCTACTCGTTGCAGAATAACTTATGCCACCAGACTCGAAATTCTAGAGTTAGAAAACCTAGAACTATGCCACCTTCGGTCCAATCTAAGTATAGTATATAAAATCATACACTGCAATGTCCTACCTGTCAATGAATTCTTCAGCTTCAACCATAACAACACAGGAGACAACAATAGATAAAAACTCAAGGTTAACCGCACCAAACTTGATTGCAGGAAATACGACTTCAGCAACAGAGTGGTCAATGTCTAGAATACTCTACCTGACTCAGCAGCAGAGTGGTCAATGTCTGGAATACTCTACCTGACTCTGTGGTTTCTTCCCCAAACCCCAAAAACTTTAACCTTAGACTGTCTACGATTGACCTCACCCCTTTCCTAAGAGATCTGTAGGGGGCGTGCATAAGCGCACCAACATGCCTACTGTCCCTGTCCTATTGTTTCTTTTATTTCTTTTATTTTTCTTATATGTATCCATGTATTCATAACTATGTTTTTACTTACACCTATTATCTTGTAAGCAATTGACAAAAACGAACAAACAAACAAATAAATAAATAAATAAATAAATAAATAAATAAATAAATAAAAGAAAAAAATATAATTGATAATCAATGGTAGATATTCAATGTCTTCTATTTCCGATGCTCCACAATACGTTCTCTCAAAATATGGCATTTGCTGGAATCATCTGTATTTGTCCATAAAATCTAGCTGCTTGAATCTTGCTCTTATACTATTGAATTACAGATATTTATTACACTCATTTATATATTATTCTATAAGTCTATGGAATTGTATAAGCATCTAATATAGGCAACAGCTTTTCCAAAGACCAAAACTAAATCTGGAAAATTTCCATGACATTTATTCAAAGTTAAAATATATTTAATAAGAGTATTTTCTAAATGTGCATTCAGTAATTCTCCACTTCTGATACTTAAAAGAATGTCTCAGTAACAACTTTTAAAACTCTCAGAGGATCTTAACTGGGTCTTCACTCCCAAGCTATCTTGGGAGGCTTCAGATTGCTTTCTTTTGATTTATTGTTTTTTAAGCTTGTCATTACTTCTTAGGCCTGAAATCCCTTCTTATTTTTATTTAGATGCTGTATATTATGCTTGGGAATACTGCAGAAGAACAGCCAGGGAACAACTACTTGAAGTATAGCTATTATCAGTTCAGAAGACTTATTATTTAATGCGGAATCATGTACATTTAGGCAAAGTATTACTGAACCTGGCTTTTGGGGGCATGTTACCTTGTTCAGAGGAAATGAAAATTGCTCCTGGTCATTTGTTAATAGTTTTACAAGCATCTCTTCCAAGAGCTGTGCAAATGTTAGGTTCCTTTTTTTGGCTCTTATCTCCTGATATGCAAAACTCAATACACCATGCATCTGTTATTGAATCCTCTGGGAACTTTTGCAAGCAAGTAGTGATTTGGTTAGCAGCTGTGTATATTAGTTTTGAGAATGTGGAAAACCTTATTGTTGACAATCTGGACATGCATTATTTAATTATGTGTCAACTATAATGTAGTGATAAATTCTGTGATTCTTCACCAAGTATACAGCTAGAAAACATTTTTGCAGCTACAAGCCTTATTATTATTATTATTATTATTATTATTATTATTATT